TGTAGGGGGCGGGACACGGGGGCCCGGCCCATCAGTCAGCTGCCTGGCCAGGGGAGCTGCACCAGGCCGGCTAGCACAGGGTGGGGGTGGCTGGAGGTGGGGACGTGCAGCCCACCACTGGGGGGGCCTGGGGAAGAGGCTTCAAAAGTGTGGGCGGTGCCCAGGGTTGGCCTGAGGAAGCCAGAGGAGGTGGGAGGAGGCTGTGCGGGGACCTGCCTCCCTCCCTCCAACTCTCACCTTCACGTGTCCAGCAGGGTGGGAGGGGGTCCCCGGGAGGGGAAGGGCAGGGAAGGCACCCCCAGGTCTTGTTGAGGAGCCTGTTCCTCTCCCTGCCTGTCCTCGGAGCCTCTGGCACCGAAAGGAAGCCCTGGCCCCTCAGCCTTGCCTTGGCCGTGTCTGGGGCCTGCATCTTGGGAGCCCCTCCCGAGGCCCCCAGGCCACACTCACCTCTACCAGCCTTCCGTGGGGCCCCAGGCACCCTGGAGGGAAGAGATCATGAGGTTACAGCTGGGCAGCTGCAGCGGTGGGGGGGCAGGGTGAACCCCAGGGGCCCCGCCCCACCCCCGCACAGCACCACGCCCCCGCCTGCCCATGGGGTGCGCACAGCTGCAGGCCTGGGGCACGCAGACGTTGATACTGGTGCTGAAAAGGGTCTCGCCGTCGGGACAGAAGCAGCCTTCTGTGAGGGTGCCAGCCTCCTGAAGAACCCTGTGGGGGAGCGGAGCATTGGCCGGGACCCCACCCTTCCCAGGGTGGGAAGATCCCTGGCCTGGGACAGCCGCGTGGGGCCCGTGGGCGGACCGGGGGGCACATACAGGAGGTTGGTGCTGTCATTTCCGTAGCAGTACGAGGTGTTGGATGGGCCACAGGCCTGGTACACCTTGTCAGCAGGGCAGGTGAACACTGTGGGGAGGAGATGCCATGCCTGAGGGGCCAGGGTGACACCAGGCTGTGCCTCTGGACCCAGCCTCCACTGAGACTGACACGGGCTGCGTTGGGAGTACGTGGGCCACCCTCGGTCCAGTCTTGGTGGCCTGGAATCAGCCCCTCTAGCCCCGCCACTGCCTGACTGTGACCCTGGCACCTGGCACCCTGGGCCGCAGGTACCCAGACTTAGATAGCCCCTCCTTTCTCTTCAGGGAACCAGAAGTGCTCTACCCTGGGGCCGGCCACCTCCTCCTCCAGGAAGCCCACCCTGACCACTGAGCCCACCCACTGATGGCCTGGCGTGCCTGCCCCCCCTCACAAGGGCTTGGCGCCCTGAGGACTGGCACTCACAGCATGTGCCATTGGTGTGGTCCCTCCAGTCGATGCAGACGCCGGAGGACGTGCAGAGCGAGGCGTACAGCTCCAGGCTGGAGCACACCACCGCTGAGTCGTTCATGTGGCAGTGGTCGAAGACACAGCCTTCATAGAACGGCTGCTTCCTCTTGTTGGGGACAGGTGAGAGCCTCAGGCATGTGGCTTGGGGTGCCCAGCACATTCCTGGTGCAGCCGGAAAGCAGACCCCAGGCAGGAGTCACCCCAGACACCACCCGCTTTAAACCAGGCCCTGCCCAGGGCGAGCTGGGGTGGGGGCTCACCGCACTGCCCCTCGGTGTTGTTGGTAAACTTGCTGAAAGGCACCTCCACCGAGAAGATGAGGCCGGTGAACATGACCTGGACGCCGATGTCTGGGATCGTCACGTACATCTTGATGCCAATGCGGGAGACGTCAATGCCGTTCTTCTGGAAGCCAGGGCTCACCACCTTCTTGTTGAAGATGATCTGGGCATGGACGCAGCCGGTGGAGGACGGAACGGCGGGGCAGACAGGTGGTCAGCCACTGCCCAGGGCCCTGCCCGAAGACCCCCTGCCCACCAGAACCCACTGGGGATGTCCCCACCTGGTTGGTCATCACCCCGTTCACTGGCCTGCGGGTCAGCACCACCCGGTCCTGGTGGTACTCCACGATGATGGACTGGGGACAGGAGAGCCCGTCCTCGGCGTCGCAGAAGTAGTTGTCGATGAGCACACGGAAATGGCCGTACACAGGCACGATCTGCTGCACCAGCACGTAGGTGCAGTTGTCCAGGAACGTGTAGTAGGTGCCATCGAAGGTGATGTAGTGGGGGTCACCCCAGCCACTGCACACACCTGTCAGGCACCAGGGTGGCCTTACGCTGGGCCCAAGTCACCACGAGAGGCTTGGGGGCCTCCCTGCACTATGCCCTGTGGCCCTCCCAATGGGTCACATCTGCCTGCATAGCCATGGGCATGTCCAGCCATCCCGGACCCCTCCTGTGTCCGGCCTCTGTCCCACTGGCCCCTGTCCCTCCCCACACCCTGTTCTGGCTGCTCACACTGGCAATGGTAGTCCTGGCAGCAGCCGTCTTGGCTGGACACCTTCACAGCCGGGTAGCCATTGGCGCAGGTGGGTTTCTTCACTTGGGGGCACTTGCGGGGTCTCACAGTGATGGTGTTGTTGCCTTCGCAGGTGGCCTGAGAGCAGTTGGGCATGTCCCAGGTCTCGCCTCTCTGTGGAAAAAAGTGCAGTGGTAGAGTCTGAACCATCTCCAGCCTCGAGGGACTGCTCCTTAGTTCACAGGGCTTACCATCCCCGTGGTGCCATGTGCAAACAAGGGAATGGTGGCTGTGCCATTGGAACATACGTTTAAGCCCCAGCCTCTCCCTGGACCCCCCCATCAGCTGCCCAGCTACATCAACCCAGAGTGCCGAGTGCCCAGGGAGTCTCTGGTGAGTGGAGGTTGCCCCGTCCCCAGCCATCCGGCCAGGCCCACGGCATCAACCACCTGGTCTGGGCCCTGGTCATCGTCGACCAGCAGAGTTACCCAAATGCTGAGCAGGCATGCCCTTCTGGAAGTCTCAGGGGACCCAGCCCACTGCATCCATGCAGGGCCATATCCCTATGGTCAGCCAGCAGCTGCCGGGACCAGCAACACCCATGAGAACTTGAAGCTGAAACTTAATTGCAAAGACGCTTGAGGTCCCTGCTGCATTCCCTGAGCCCCCAGAGCTGGGGGACGGTGGGGGTTACCTTTCTCGGGGGAATTGTATTTGGGCAACCCCCTGTAGTGACAGGAGCAGAGGTGGAGGTCCCCACAGAGGTTGTGGCTGGAGTGGGGGGCGGCGTGGTGGAGGGACAGTCCTGGTCCACCCTTCTGATCACTTGGCAGTCCTGGTTGCACAGGGCATGATAGCAGTGGCCAGTGAGGTCTGTCTGGCGGTAAATGACAGATCCTGAAAGACCAAGTGGCGCAGTGACGTTAGCACAGCTGTGCTTGGGAAGGCACCCCCCCAGCAAACGAGTGATCTGTTCTAGGAGGGCACCCTTACAGACGCAGGGAAGTGGGACGAAAATACAAAAGAAAGGTGATGGCCATTTTGAGGAAAAAATTAAGTCCATGCCCCAAAAGAGCAAAGGCTCCTCTCATCTCTATAGAACTATGGCTTTCCACAAATGGCCCCATTGTGACCAGGGCTGACTCAACCCTAACAGCACAGGGGAGACCCACATACCCGCGCGGTAGAGCTGGCCAGAAACACTGCAGAAGCAGCTTCGATGAGAGGAAGCTGTAGAGCTGGGCCACCATGGGGCAGAAGAGGACGGTGCCAGAAATGAGGTCTTGCTGGGTGAAGTCACGTACGGGATCATGGAGGAGAGGGGGCAGCCTTCAGGGGTCTTGCAGCACAGCACGCGCACCTCGTAGTTGAGGCACATCTTGG